ACCTGTGCTCCAAATCGAGCGACAGTTCTGGACGCAGCCTCTCCACCGGTAACTTATCGCAATGTGATGATTTGTGTCCATAGCTGGTTCGAGGCTGGTGGGCGCCAAGTCACCCACCGGCGGGTGCTGTGTCGGAAATTAGTGCTCGCAAGAAATAAGCGAGCATCCTCACACAAATGAAGTAACCGCTCACCGTTATCATTACGGGAGCCTACACCGCGTTGACCGCCCAGATGCATTTCATTAATGGAAAACTTTCCAACTTGTGCGTTCATATGCCCCGCCAGCACAACAGTGTCCGTGCTTCTTCTGTGGCGAAGGAGCTGGGTCAGTTGGCGGTAGAAGTCGTTCGTTATCGAATCATCGCTACAGTTTGTGGGCGCGTAGGCAGCGATGAGGAATAGACATCTATTAGTCCCGCGCGACTTCGAAGCTTTAAACGAGCCAGACAATCGGACCGCACACATCCGGCTACTGATTGGAATCCAATCAACCAGAGCAGCTTCAGCTCGGGGACTCAGGGCAATGCCAATACCAGCTTGGCCGGTGCTCGAAGCTACATCGTCACCGGATAGGCGCAATGAGAAAATACTGCTTGCGTCACCTGAAGGGGATCGCAGAGTGAGCACAGAGCTCGAGTCTTGCAGGCAAGTCTCTGATAAGCAGCAGATATCGATCGAGAGGGTCTCCAATGTTCGGGCAAGTGCTGCCTGTTGACCGATTTGTAGCAGTGTGCGTACATTGAGGCATGCATATCCGAAGGAGAATCGAGGGCTCCAAATGGAAGCGGATGAACTGGAATGGACCGCTTGGTTGGATATGGGCTTGTTGACAGGAGAGGAGTGACGCTCCGCATTCACATGTGAGTTGAAATTAGAAGATAAATGCCTAGCAAAACATGTTGGGGGAGGGCCAAGAATCGGGGGTTGAAAACTGGGGGATATAAGTGAAGTTGGAAGGGGACGGCAAGAGAGAAAAAGGCGTAAGGGGGGAATAAGAAGACGGGAAGGCTTGAGCAGTAGCATCCAAACCCCTATCCACCCTGCTCGATGCAGCAGATAGGGCACCGTTGATTATCCTCAGAGGTGGCCAGAGCATCAAGAAATTGTTTGAGGTAAGATTCATAGTATTGCGTGGGCAGGATACTGGCTAGGCTGCCCAGGCCTAGACAGAACGTTTAGGGTTCTCAACCATGCCTTTGGTTCAAAAACCTGACCGCAAGGCAGCGGGTTTTTTCGTTGGGCTACAAGGAGTCCGTTTTAAGGAATAAGGTGCCACCCTCATTCCAACCCCCAACCTGGAGGACCAGAAGGCTGAGTTTGTCTGGCCTCTAACCATTGACCAATCTGGTATGAGTGACTCTGAAGATGCAAAAGCACCATCCAGCATAGCTCAATGGATGGCTGAGGCACACAAACCATCGCACCACGGTAAGGTCCAGCCTCATTGCCACCCCAAATGCACAATGATTCGCCTGGCCTGAGGGGACTGATGTGTCAAAAGTAAAACCTGGACCAACAAATACAACAACCATGATCATCATCACACATCAGCAAAAATTGAGAAACGCTTCACCTATTGTGACGCAATACAATAATTTAAGATATATGAAATAGCGAGAAAAAAAACATTACGGAATATAATATATAAACGAAAAAAGTAATACAATTCTTAGTATCATACTATGTATCGAGTATGAGATCGTGGATGCAGCGGGAAGCTAACTCCAAGGGGGAGGGACAAAGAAACACAGCATAAACATCACTGAGGTCGGCACTTCGCCATCTTAACTGATATATCCAACCGAACGTGTTCATCTTCCTTCGGACCTGAGCCTGGAAGTCGGGAGGCCTCAATCGACGTCAAATTCGAAGTGACACCTAATTTATAATAATTTGGTCACCACTTGGCCTTCAATTCTCTTATTTCACCCACACCCCGGTCGCTCAAACAATGCGCGTCAAATCGTCGGTACTGGATACCGGCGTACTGCTGATGCCATGCCTTTATGCATAACACTTGGCCGAGTCATCGGAGCCTGGTACTGAGCGCCTCACTCGCCTTTCCTGTACCAAATACGAGATGTCGAACACGCACATTGCTCACACGATGTTCCCACTAGATGTGAAGTAAACTGCGAATGCATCCATTCTCGAACGTAACAAGCCTTTTCTGGTTTGTCGGTCGGATGGGCCAGGGGTGTTGAACGGACAACTGCATTCAGAAACAGAGAATGATGTCGCACCGGCGCCACAGGTGGCAGAGATTAGTAAAAGAGTCACGATATTTTGTTATACAGTTCGTGAGCTCATCTCCTATTCCACGAGCGCCAATATAGCTGCCTAAGTACTCAAATTTCTGAACGACTTCTAACTAATCACCAGCAAGGGTCAGCGCAGCAGCGGGTCCCTGCTAAGCTCGGAAAAGGGCTTCGCATTGTGAGGGTGCCCGAAACGATTGACACCCAGTGCTAATATGTCCAGTGCTGATTGGTACGTTTGCGAGCTGTCATAGATTATGACAATGTCATCAGCGTACTCCAAGTTAAGAAGCCGATGACCTGAGAGTAGCACCACACCTGGTTGGTCATGTCCAACAAACGCTGACTCCATAATTTCCTCAATGGCGAAGTTAAAGTGGAAAGGTTACAGAGATCAACCTAGTCTCACAGTAGGGAATATTGGAGGGCAGGGAAATTTGCCATAGGCCCTCACTCCGCTCGTACTATTCGTATAAAGCAGTATAATGAAAGTTACATTTTTATCGGGCAGACAATTCCTGAGCAATCCCAAATGGCACATCGATCCACCGAATCGAAGGCACCTTGGATGTTTGGGAACACGGTTACAGTGGAGCGTCAACCAATATGGCGGTGTCGTAACAACTGGCGTAATTTGAAGATGTGGTCGACACAGCCCCGACTTCGACGAAACCTGGCCAGATCTTCACGAATGTGGCTGCCACGGGTGCCAGTCAGTCTACGGAGAGCGGCAGAGGCAAGTGACCAAAGATTGATCAGGCCATGAATAGCGCATACCGAACGAGAGCCTCCCATTAAAATTGGGACTATGACGGATCGGCTTCCGTCGATTTGGACAGTTTCCTGTTGCCACGGTTTCAAGAACCTCGTGCAAATCTTCCACAAGTGCTAATCCTGCAAAGCTGAAGATGGCTGGAGGAATTCTAACTGACCCTGCGACATTGTCCAATAGCAGTAGTCTTATCTCACGTTCGACTTCTGCGCGTGAAGGAAAATTCAACGGGACGGCCCAGGGAGAAGAGCGATCACTTGTCGATAAGAAAGTTGTTAACTTTGGTTAATCAAGCTACTTTTCAAACTGTTCGGCACAACGCCCCAAGCGTTTTGACAAGCTGTGGATTGGCTGTCTACTATCATCGCATATGGTTTCGCTAATATCAGGTCTCCTGCTACCCGTTCCCGTATCAGACAGAATAAGTTCCAATTATTACCAAGCTCCGATACACGGTAAGACAACCAAGCTTCCTGGTCTCTCTTCAGGCTAACACGCAATTTGTATTGAGGTCATTGCGAGACTTATGATGTTTGCTCTTAGCCAGAACACGTCGGTCAGCATCCAGAAGTTCCACAGAGTGTGGAGAAACGCAATGTCAACGTTGGCAATTTGACTTACCACATGCAAACATGCCCGTTGTTAATAACGACTGGCAGATATGCGACAAGTGACCTGTAAATGTTAAGCGAGCACTTACTTAATCTGCATGCTATCGCAGCATGATAGGTACTGAGAACACCTGGCTTCACCAGTTGGCTGGTGTTCATGCGCTCACAGCGTAACTGCGGATGTCCGTCAAAGCGAACTCGTAGATCGTCACATAAAAGTGTGTGGTCAGAGTCCACGTCGTGCTCCAAACCGAGCGGCAGTTTTGGACATAGCCTCTCCAATGGTAAGTGATCGCGATGTGATGGATCTGCGTCCATGGCTAGTCGGAAGCTGGTGGGTGATGTGTCATACATCTGCGGATGTTGTGTCGGAAGTTAGTGATCGCGAGAAGTAGATGAGCATCTTCACATAGGTATACAACCACTCACTGTTATCATTACGGGAGCCTACATCGTGTTGGTCGCCTAGATAAAGCTCACCAGTGAACAGTTTTCCAACTTTGCTGTTCAAATCACTAGCAATCACCAAAATATCCGGACTTTTCCTGCAACGAAAAAGAGCGTTCTGCTGATGATAGAAGTTATCTTTCACCGCGTCAGTGCGCTACAGTTTGAGAGACGTTGGTAGCAATGTCAAAATAGGCACTGTTTGTCCCCGCGTGACTTGGAAGCTTTAATTGAGCCGGCCAATCTGTTGGCGCACATCCGGTTGTTGATTGGGAGCCAATCGATCAGGGCAGCTTCATCCCGGGGACTCAAGGCAATACCCACAATGACTTGATCGGCATTTGGAGTTGCGTCATCTTCGGACAAACGTAATGAGGAAGCGCCGTCAGTGTTGCATGCAGGTGATCGCAGGGTAAGCACAGAGCTCGAATCTTGCAGGCAGGTTTCCGATAAACAGCAAATATCAATCGATAGGGTCTCGAGTGTTCGGGCGAGTGCTGCCTGTCGGCCTACTTGTGACAAAATGTCCAAGTTGAGGCATGCCAGTCCTAGTGAGCATCGAGAGCTTCAAAGAGAAACCGGTGAACTGATATTGTCCGCTTGTTTGGATATGGACTTGTCGATTGAATAAGAGTGACGTCTTGTGATTGCATTTGAGTTTAAACTAGAAGACAAGCGACTACGCATCAACTAGTTACTTTAGAACCTCGCTGAAGAAAAACGAAGTGTCTTGTGACGGCCAGTGCGCACGCCGCTGTGGTGGCAAGACCTCGGAGTGATGGCATCGATATAGCAAACGAATGAGGGAGTGGACTCTAGTGGGAAAGTGTCTCAAGGGATGACACCGGTAACAAAAGCTGTAAAATCAAAGCAACTAGCGAGTCATTGTTGCAGATGTGTCCCAACTCACCGATCAGCACAATTAGGTCTGCTTCACGAAGTGCAGCACGCCGAGCGTGCCGAAATGCACAGGGATGCTGCCGTCCAAGTAGGCCACGGGCCATTCCGGTGAGAAAAACCGGAATACGTAAGGACTGAGAGCCAGAACAGAGAAGAAAGGGAAAAACGAGATAGAATGAGTGACAGTGTATAGAATTAGAATTTATCGTTAGGCAATTGCTAACCGGTCCACAGAATATTTTTCAGGCGAGCCACATGAACCCAAGCGCATGCTTGTGCTGTAGGCCATGCATAAAGTCCCGCAAGTGACCGACTGGGCCGTCTACAGAGCGAGCCAACGGAAAAGCTACTGAGTGAGGTTAGGAAATACCAATGTTTCGCGATGGAGTGTGACGGAATAAATAGAAGATTATCGGATATGGAATAGTTAAGGAACCACTTGTACTCTTGCATTTTGCCCGATGAGAATAACATTTTGCGACCGAATAGTGAAAAAAGTTATGGTTTACTTTTACTTTGCTTTGGCAAGCTATCTTCCTAGTGATGACAGGTGAAAGAAATGAGGCGTCGCAGTTCAGGGCGCGAATCCTAGTAAACGGGACAAAAGAGAAATGTCCTCTGTAAAAAAAATGATGTCCCATTTTTCTGGTGTAAATCACAACTCACCTTGAGATGAGATACTTTCAGGTAGACGACATTAATCGACTACCGTGAAAGCTAACCAGGTAGTTTAAGCGGGTTAATGGTACAGAATTTGTCAAACAAGTGAAATAACCTTGAAAACTAACAAGATCATTCGCTTCAGCGATCGCACAACGTCAAAAGCAAAGGTCCGCATATCAGACACACATTTTGGGTCTCCAAACATACCTGAGTAATTGTGAATACAAACAATAGCTTTGCTTCGACAGGCTATAGAGGTAAAGAAATGCTGACAATTGTCCTTGTTCCGATGTTGCTTGTAGCCACGGATTGCGTTACGCTCATCCAGACCATTTCACAAAGTGTGGCGGGTGGTTTCGGATAAGCGTTCGGTATCGTTCATCTTCTGGCGCAGCAGGGTCGCATCATGTTCCGTTGTGGAGTCCCAATTATCAAAATGAAGAAATGGAGACAAGGACGACAGGGCTAAGATAGTGTAGTTTAGTTCCCCAGCGAGGCTAGACTATGAAAGGTACCTTTGACTAATTATGACCGCAACAGCGGATCCTAGATAGAACTAAGACAAGAACTTAAGCAACAATGTTCGTGACACAGCCGAAAGGCACCCTAGCCTATGTTCAAAAAGTGCTACTTATAGTGGAATTCATAAGCAGAATGCAGTCCATGGAGGACCACAGATCTCAGTGGAATTTCAAGACCAATAAGTTGGCTTAAGAGGGGCCTGTAAAAGTCACTCGCCCAATTTCTTTTGCGCGTTCTCTAGGTGAACATTGGCCAGGTCGATGCTTAAGAGCGCAATAGGAAAGATTTATGACCAGTCGGACAAAGTACTACAGGAGGATATTCATATGATTGTCCAGCTGGACCAGATTACACACTCGAAGGAGCTGGATTAAAGGTGACAAAATGCGGGAATACATTATTAACCTGAGGCACTGTTTTAGACTGCTTCTGTTTGCCCCCCCCCCTCTGCCCAGACGCCGTAGAAGTGAATGAGATAAAGGAAACAACGCTTAAGATGGGATCTGTACTTTTGAATATTTCAGAATGCTATAGCGTATCAATCATCACTGGATTCATGGAGCTGATGAATTACCGTCATTAGGAACACTGTTTTACCGTCGTCCGTTAAAATTAGATGAACTTCTGGTAGCCCCTGTGCACAGTAGATGAGTTCTCGTTGCGACGAATACCGATTACCAATAGTACTGCGCCAATATATGACAATTAGCTGTGTGAGGTTACCAGTTGAGTTAGGCTCTAAGGAGTCATCCACTGAATTGATCGTTTTAATAAGCTTGACAGTTAATGGCTGCACCGGAGTACTTTGCGCATAAAGGAATGTACACGTTTGTGTAGGGTAATGCTGTAAAACTAATCACAACATGGAGACGATGACAGTGATGGAGCCCAAATGAAGACAATCTTAAGCTTGCGGGAAAAATGCAGATTGAAAGGATGACAAATAGCGCTAATGCGTCGAAAACTACATGGCCAACCTGAAGATAATCAGAGAGCAAAAACAATGGATACTCAAAAGAAAACTAGTGGTCTATGTTTAGGGGACTGCAAGGAGGAACTCTAGAAATTCATCAATAAAAAATCCGAAACGAGAAAATAATAAAGTATGGCGAAGAGACTCTTACGATTACACCAGTGGACCCGCAGTCCAGCTTCCCAAATAAACGAAGGCAGGACACCATAACCAACACAGCCGTATCGGCCCGTAGCCTAGAGGTAAGGAGCTTGTCTCGTAATCTTGCGGCGTGGGTTCGAATCCATGTAGATGTGGGCGTCCTCGCGGTATACCCAGCCCGCGTGCGACTGGTGATGGTCGCACGGTAGCGAAGCGCGTTGCGACGCACAGCTGACACATTATTTATACTACCAAGACCTAGGAAACCGGGTAGTATCTCACCTACTGACGAACCATGGACTTACAACTACAAGTATTCACACGCTCTCTTGCTGCTATGATGCTATTCACTCATGCTATTATGCCAACCTCACAAACACACGCCACCGTTTTACCTACCCTTCCCTTGTACCATTCACACCCGTTTTACCTGATTATTCTACGGCGATCAACCCCCACATCCACCGATGAACCTGTTCCCGTGACATGTACCAACTCAACCAAACAGTGCTCAACAGGAAGCTGCCAGCCGCGAAGTCTCCCATCTTCACTCCAGCGACCCGGAACGCAGATCAAACTTTCAGCCTTCAACGTACGCACATTACTGCAGACCGGTCAGCAAACTGGACTTCCACGTACACTAGAGAATTTTGGAATTGTTGTCTGCTGCTTGAGTGGAACACGACTCCAGGACTCTAACTCGGTCTACCAGCTGGTGTCACATCTCCCCCCACGCACCCACTTCCATCTCCGCCTCTCTGATGACAATGAGTCTGCCACATCTGGGCAAGCTGGTGTTGGAATCGCCCTCAGTGCTAGAGCCTACGCTGCTCTGATTGAATTGATGCCGATCAATAGTTGCCTTTGTGCGGTGAGGCTCCGTGGCTCTTGTAAAGTTAGCAGACGTAAGGTCGAAAAGCATGCTCTCTTCGTGATCTCCGCCTAGGCGCCCATTGACTGTAGCTCGGACACAGTCAAGGACCAGTTCTACCAGAACCTTCATGAGCTGCTCCTTAGGACTCTTAAAATAGACCTCATTGTTTTGGCAAGAGACTTCAAAGCGCGTGTCGGTCGGCTGCTACCATGTGAGCGCCACCTAGGGAGATCGCATGGATATGATGATGTTCGCTCAGGCAACGGAGAGAGACTGCACAGTCTGTGCTGATCATCAGCTTTTCCTTTCCAGCACGAGCTTTCGTCATCCTTGGCGCCCCCATCATCAACCCAGCGCTGGTCACAGATTGACCACATAGCCATAAGTCGCAGGTGGCGCAACAGTGTAGGCGACTGCAGATCATTTTCGTCAACATGCGTGGATAGCGATCATGCACTGGTATGAGACCGTTTGCATGCGCTTCGATGGTTCACCTAGGTCTGAATATACCCGACTGAACACCTACAAGTTGGAGGACTTAACGGTGAGAGCATCAACAAAGGCTTCGTGAAAATGTCGCTCTCTCTCCCACGCTAGATGTTGATCAACACTGGTCAAGTCTGCCACAAGACATGCTGACGGCCGGTTTGTCCAGCTGCGGCCTCGTTTGCCCTACTTCCAAAAGCCGGATCTCGGGAAGATCCTTGGAATTGCTGGATCGCCGACGGGCCGTACTTGCTGGTGTAGAGCACAAGGAACACCGCCGGTCCATTACCCAACAGCTGAAAGCAAGCCTTCGTTCTGCTCGTGAATCCTGGTGGTCAGAACGAGCTGATGAGATAGAAACCGTTGCATCAGTTGGCAATTTCCGCCGTTTATTTTGTTTCACCATGGTCACGGGTTGCAATTCCCACGCTATCAGCCAGACGAATTGCGAATCAGACGGCACGATGATCACCAAAATTCATAGGTGATTGGGTCGCTGAGCAGAGCATTGCACTATACAATTCAACCACACAACACAGCCCCCTGTAGCACCTCCAGCTCCAACGCATACAATGCATGGCCTGTCACCAAAGCCTCCCCCCCTCCAAACGAAGCACAGATCCGAAAAGCAATCCAATATTTGAAAGCTACAGGGCTCCTGATTCCGAAAACCTACCACCTCTATTCAAAGATGGCTGGATTGTACTTGTTAGCGGAATCTTATCGCCGTTCACGTAAGTTTGGACTGAGAAGGTTCCGAACTCATGGGGAGAATCGCTCATTGTTCCGATTCACAAGAAAGGCTCCCGCGACAACTGCTGTAACTACCGCGGAATCTCGTTGATCTCTGTCGCATCCAAAATCTTCGTGTCGGTTCTACTTCGCAGGCTTTCAATGACTAGAGGGCGTTTTTAGGAGAAGAACAAGCCAGAATTCGTCTGGGCCGCAGCTGCATCGACCAAATCTTCACGCTCCGCTAAGTCCCCGAACTCCGTCGCATCCACCGGCGGCCAACAATCATAGTATTCCTGGACATCCGAGCGGCGTTTGATTCAGTGGATAGATCTGCGTTGTGGAAGTCTTTACTGAAGAAAGGTGTACCCGACAAGTTTGTAACCATCCAAAAAGAACTTTACAGTCACGTCGGGCAAAGTCAGGGCTTACGGCACGCTCTCTTCTTCGTTTGTTGTGACCAGGGGTGTCCGCCATGGTTGCCCTATTTCACCTTTCCTCGCCAATTTTGCAATCGAAGATGTTGTCAAAGGAGCACTGGAAGGTGTCCAGAAATGTGCAGTTGAGCACCTGGAGACAGAATCACGGACTTGGACTACATCGATAATATCGTCTTGCTGGGAGACGACCCACAAACCGACAAACAGCGCTTTGGACCAGTTAGCGATGCAGGCGTCTAAGTGTGGCTTATGCTTCACTCCGAGAAAATGTAA